GGCAGGTGCGGCTGGTCCCGGGGCGCCCGGAGGAGGTTCCGGCCAGGTCGGACTCTGCTGCCAACCTACCAGTACCTGCCTCAGACGTCCAGGTGTCGGGCATGTTCGGCTCTGTGGCTGTCAGGGTCCCTCACCCCTCCCCTGGAGCCTTTGTTGGGGTTGGCTGAGGGGTGTAAGTGGCCTTCAGGGGCCATCCTGAACGGAGGAGGCTGATCGGGCCCTCTCCCCAGCCTGTCGATCCAGCTCTGAAGCGGGGCAGTCTCACCTTGACGGTGCGCCCCTCGGTTTCCACTTACATGCCCACCATCTGGGTGATGGGGGCGCCTTTGGAGGCCGTTATTGGCTGGAGGAGGAGCTGCTGGGCTGAGGACGCTGACCTGTCAGCCCCTAGACAGATTTTTGACGGGGACATCCTTTTTCAAACTGAAGCTCAGGCACAAGGGTGCCCTACTCTCTTGAGATTCCTTGTCCGCCTTGGTGCCCTGAGCCCCCCACCCCAGGTGCCCAGTGTCTCCTCAGGTATCCTGTTACGTCAGGGTATCCTTTTCCCACTGCCCTCCACCTGTCCTGTCTTCCCTCCATGCCCTGCTTGTCACCCTGCCCCGACTCCCCTCCCCTGCCCTTATCTTCCCTAGAGTAGTTAGAGACAACCGGTGATGATATCTTTAAGTCATCATTATTCCAGAAAATTTCACGGGGACACAAATAGAACACATGACTTGATCTAAGACCATAGTAGATGTAGTTAGAGTGAGCACAGACTCACCAAGTCCTGGCAAGGCAGAATGAAGGGCATCCCTTGACACTTGTGAATGATAACAGGCACAGAAGCTTAACTTTACCCACCAGAACTGACCGAACGCTGTTGTCACCCTGGCTTGGGGGTGGAGTGGTTGCAAGGCTGGAGGTACATGAGAAGCAGGTGAGGATTTCTGAAGGACAGGCCCAACATGTTAAGGGAGCATCCTCATGACTGGGACTGATCCCCAAGGGCTGATGACATAAAGGCAGTCATATGTCCTGGGTTCTTTGGTGGCCTCCAAATTCCCAATTATGCAGTGTAAACCGAAGCCAGACTTCAGTTGTCCTTTGAGCCATTGGTAAATGCTCATTCCTGTAGTTCTTCAACAGTTAGCTGCACACTGAGGCCAGGCAGTGTTGTAGCCTCACGGGGGCAGGTAGGACTTCTAGCCATTTGAGTACTCTACTACCCTCCTTTTGGTAAAAGAGACCCTGCTCCTGCCACACTGCAGAACTGTCATATCTTCCTTCCCTCCCCCTACCCGCCATCATGTGATCTTTTTGTGTTGCTTTGAACTCCAGGGCTTAAGTGATCTTCCTGCTCCATCCTCCTTAGTAGCTAAGTATACAGGTGTTTCCTACCTCACCCTTCTCTGGAACTGTCATTTCTTTGAAACCTTCTGATCCCAGCTTCTTGAGTTGTGGCCTAACCTTGGAGGCAGCGAACTATGCTTTGTGAGCTATTGAGAAAGGGTGGCCTGTGCACGGATGTTGGCTTAGCGTGGGGCCCACTTACTGGTCTTGTTTCTAGCTGCTCAAGCAAGTAGAGAGGTGAATGGAGCCAGGAGACTTGGGGTGTGGCTACTCTGGGACAACTGGAAAGCAAGTTCTCTGAAGCTCTGTGCCTGAAGGAAGATGTGACCTCTCCCCCTCAGAAAGCCTTATGGCCTCCTAGACTGACTTCAAGTCAGAGCAGCTCCCTGGCTTCCAGCTGGAGTCGGCATACAGAGTCTGAGCCTCCATTCTAGCCCTGCCTTGGAACCAGAAGGTGGGAAGAGGATTCATACTCAGAAATCCTCCCTGTGATCAGGAGCAGAGGGAGGGTCCACAAAATAGCAGACCTGGGGGCTAGGGACTTCCCTCAGAGGTACATATTGAGATGTGAGTTCAGGAGCCAAGCAGGAACTCCTCCTAGTACACAGCAGAGTGCTCAGGGGGAACTGGAAATGTCTGTGGTCTCTGTCCACAGCAGAGAGGTACTGAGGGTGGAATTCCCCAGACCCATGTGACGAAGCCTGCTGTGGGTGCCTCCCCACCCCACACCTGCCCTTCTCTTTTCTTCCCAGATCTCTGCATTTCCTTGATCTGAGGCTCTTAAACTGTGGTCAATAGTAGCAAGTGTGTTAGAAATAAAGTCTCAGGCCCTAGCCCGCCCTGCTGACCGTGGGTGGGGCCAGCAGCCTGTCTCACCAGCCTGACAGCTGACTGGGACGGCCAGAAGTTGGGGAGCTGTTGCCCTGGGTGGCTTGAAATGAGGCAAGGGCTTGCCTGCCTCCCTCCCAGCCAACCTGGTTTCCTTCCCTGTGCTTCTTGGGACAGTAAAGTGGCCTTGGCCCAACCCAACCAGCTTTGGATCACCAGAGCCTTTCAGAGACAGGGCTGCTGCTAGTGGTTTTGTAATTTTTTTTTTTTTCCTATTGGGATAATGTGTAACCTAGGCAGGCCTTGAACTTGCAGTCTTTCTGCCTCAGCCTCCCAAGTACTATGATTTCAGGCAGGCACAGCCATACTCAGCTAATGTTTTGTTGTTGTTTTAAGACCTGATTCATGTAACCCAGGCTGACCTAGAACTTACCATGTAGATAAGGCTCACCTTGACTCTTGATCCTCCTGTCTCTACCTCCCCAGTGCTGGGGTTACAGGGCATGGGCCACCACACCCAGATTTGGCTTCAGTTTTGAGAGAATTGTAGCTGTATGCAATTATAAAAAGAAGCAGAGGTTTTTGGTATCCTTCCCAGTCTCTCCCAAATAGTAACATTTTGCAAAACTGTAGTACACTATCACCTCAGGACACCACATTGATACAGTCCAGAGGAGCCTTTCTGTTGTAGATTTATATTCACACCTGTCTCCCTTCTGCTAAAATTATAGAAATGGAAAGATTATCATCCCTACCCTTTCCCTGGCCACCATCAACCTGTTCATAATTTCCCTCATTTTAGTATGTCAGAAATGCCAACTGGGGGCTAGAGAGATGGCTCAGCAGTTAAGAGCACTTGCTGCTCTTGCAGAGTTTGGTTCCCAGAACCCAAGCGGCAGCTGTCTGCAGTTCCAGCTCCAGGGGATCTGATGCCCTCTTCTGACCTCTGAAGGAACTGCATGCACATAATGCACTTACATACATACAGAGAAAATACTCATACACATAAAATATTTTTTTTAAAGGCTGATGAAGGAATCATACAATATGTAGCTTTGGGGATTGGCTTTTTGTACTCAGTATAGTTGCTGAGAAACTCATCTAGCATGGGTTGGGGTATATTATCAGTAGTTTGTTTTTTTGGCATCCAAGCTATGGGTGTCCCTCAGTTGGTTTAACTATTCATCTGTTGAAGGACATTTGGGCTGTTTCCAGTCTCTGGCTGTGACAAATAAAACAGATAAAAACATCCATGTATAGCTTTTTCTGTGAATATAAGTTGACATTTCTCTGAGTTATGTGCCCAGGAGTGCAGTTGCTGGGTTGTATCGTGGCAGCCACAGGCTTAGTTTTATAAGAAATAGCCCATCTTTTCTAGAGTGGCTGTGCCATTTTTACATTCTCACCAGTAATGAGTCAGAGGTCTAATCTCCTTTGTCAGCGTTTTGTGGTGTCACTATTTTTTATTTTAAACATTCTGACATATGCATAACAATATTTCCTTGCAGTTTTAATTTGTGTTTCCCTGCTGCTGGGTGAAGCTAAGCATTTTTTCATGGTTTATTGGCCATGTACATCCTCTTTGAAGAAGTATCTCTCTGTGTGTCCTGTGCTTTCCTTCTTGGATTATGTTTTGAGGATTTTTTGCACATTATGGACCTTGCATCTTTGGGACATGTGGCTTACAAACATTTCTCCCAATCTGTAGCTTGTCTTTTAATCTTCTTAGCAGATCTTTCACAGAAGAAAAATTTTTAATTTTAAGTTCAGTTTACCAATTTTTGTTTTCTGTTGTGGGTTGTGCCTTTTGGTGTTGAGTCTAAGAAACTGACCTAGATCCCATAGTTACTTCTCTGCCTTTTCCTAAAGTTTTCTATTGTACGTTTAGACCCAGGATCTAGTTCATTTTGAGTTCATTTCAATATAAACTGCAGATCTGTTGTTGTTGCGTTGGGAATCAAGCTGAGATATACCCTCCATCCCCCAACCCTCACATTTTTTTGTGTTTGCAATTTGTTTAACTGTAGAAGTCTAGTTGCTCCTGTACTGTTTATCGAAGAAGCTGTCCTTCCTCTGTTGAGTTGCTTTTGTTCTTTTGGAGTATTCGTGTGGCTGTTGGTCTGGTAGGGGCTTAGAATCAAGTTTAGCTCCCTTGAAGACTAGGGGCCTGACTCCTATGGATGGAGCATCTCCCCACTTCTTTGCCCCTTCTAGGGACATCTGAACTCCTGTCCTTTCCCTCCTGTCCAGCCACCAGAGCAGCAACCCCCAGATAGTTCCTTCCCTTCCAGGGCTGGTGCTAGGTGTGGGAAGGACCAACAGAAGCCCAAGGTTGCCCAGACATGAGCACAATCCCCCTGTTCTTATTTGTCCTCACCTGCTTTGGGGTCTTGGGTATGTGGCCTGCTCATGCAGAAACTCCAAGTCTGTGCTGAGCTCTGAAACAGAAATGTTTGCCCCAGGGCTAGCTGGATGCTGGAGTCCCCCTCTCTTTTAGACAAGAGAGCATTCTGTGAGTGCTCAGTGGCCGGACAGAAACCACCAGAGTCCAGCATGTTTCAAAAGACATGTGTGGCAGCCCTCACCAAGACAGAGAGGTTCAGGAATGAAGTGCCCACCACATGCAGCCTGTGGGCTCCTGTTGACAGGCCAAACAGAGGTGGACATGCAGGTGGTTCAGGGTACGTCAGGACCAAACTAATATGAATGAGGTTCTGAGAATGATCAGTCCAGGGGCAGGGCCTGTCTCAGGAAGGGACTTGCATGTGGCAGTGTGGTACTTGGAAGTATCCTGGAGGTGTGGTCACGCCTATGTCTCAGTGACTCCATGGGAGTATAGACCCAGCACAGTGAGCAGTAGTCTTTTGGCACCAGTACATTGGTCTTGTCTGCCATAACCTCTCCTGATTCACTAGTAGATCTGGTTTAGCATGCCCTCACCCCCACTGAAAAACATCAGTGACATCAGGGGCCTTGCTGTGTCTGTGGATACCCACCACCCCTCCACCTGTTGGGCCATGTGTGTCCCTGTCCTGTTGATACTCATGATTGTCGCAGATGGGTCTCTGGAGGCCAGGATTGCTTGTTTGACCCAGTGTCAATGCCCATATTAATAATCTCAGGGACACACACACATACCTGCTCCTCCCATGGCATCTGGTCAATTTGAAGGTCCCTTGGTCTGAAGTCCTTCTGCCACCCTCTTGGTAGGGGAGAGAGCTGCCAGTCAGGGACTGGGCTGGTGCCTGTGTCCTGCTACAGCAGTGTCCGTGCAGCCTCCCCAAGGCCAAGCTGCTGGATGGATGGCTGTCCTGCATCTGCTTCCTGACCTTCCCAGCCCCTACCTCAAGAACACTTTGGCTCTGCTCCCAGACTCTGAATAGGTGCTACCCCAATCGGCCCTCTGTCCTCCATTCCAGGGTCTTCTGAGAGGTTCCTGGCTTTACATGGATAGGGTATGGGAGAGGGTATATGGAAAGTATTTGAAATCAGAAAGCTGTCTTCTAGGGTTGGTTTAGTGGCTTAAGGTGGGCCTTTGTCAGAAATGCTGAATTCTGGGCTGACATCAGCCACCTGCACTGCCCTGCCCTCTACTGGAACCATCCTTTGCAGAGAAGGGGCAGGCTGGCAGCCCTGGCTCTGTCCATTCTACAGAAAGGGTCTCCTGCTGCATCTGAGCCCTCCTGTCCAGCATCCAGAGCAGCAACTCCCAGATAAATTCCAGCACACTGGGCCTGTAGGCTGCTCCGTTGCCAATGAACTCCATGAACCCCATGAAACCTGCCCTGCCCCCCACGCCACATGGGTGAGTGTGGGAGTCTGTGCCCTGCCTCTCACAAGCCCTGGGCTCTCGGGTACCTGTGGCCTCCTGATCCTGCCTCACCAACTCCTCTCCCTGTAGTGATGGTTCATTTGCGTACGAGTCTGTGCCTTGGCAACAAAGCGCCACTCAGCCAGCCGGGTCACTGTCTGTGGTTACTACTGTGTGGGGAGTTGGCAACGCAACACAGAGCCAGGTGAGCATCCACGTGGGTTCTCCTGCCCCACCCCTCAAGAGCCAGAGCCTTGGTGGTCTTTATACCATCTTCAGGCTCCAAGTACAAGGGGCCAGTGAGCCTGACTGGAGCGTGAAGCTGAGGCTTCCTGAGGGACTCAACTCCCTAGGTGCGTTTCTTCTGCACTGCCATGGGATTTCTTCTGCCATTTTCCCCTGGCCTACATAGACCACTCCAACCAGACCTGTGGGCGGCCACCCTTCCCCACTCTGGTCCTCCCCAACTTGGCAGGCATCTCTTGGCATCTAGCATGTTAGAGCTGTGGCTTGAAGAAGGTGGTTTGGCTGGTTCCCTTTGGTGATTCCCACTTCCTTGTAGGTTTTGGGGAACCCTATGGGCCCTGCAGGAAGCCCCCCTGGTGGCTCTATGATGCCTGGTGTGGCAGGTGGCAGCTCTGCCTTGACCTCCCCGCAGTGCCTGGGACAGCAGGCGTTTGCTGAAGGTGGTGCTAGCAAGGGCTACGTACAGCAAGGCGTGTATGGTCGTGGGGGCTATCCTGGGGGCCCCAGCTTCACCACTGGGTAAGCAGAACCTCTCCTCTGGCCAGTGACTTGAAACCGTCAGCCTGGCAGGTACCTCAGAATGGATGGATGTTGCCTTTTGCTTCTCTGCTGTCTCCAATAGTCACATTGGAGGGTCTGGAAAGAATGGGCTTCCGCTTAATGCTCTGTGTCCCCAGAGTAAGCCTTTGTAGAGAGTGAGGCGGTCCTGTGTCTCCTGCAGGTATGCGGGTGGTCCTGGGGGCCTGGGCCTCCCCTCACATGCTGCACGACCCTCTACTGACTTCACACAAGCAGCAGCTGCAGCTGCCATGGCTGCTGCCGCGGCCACCGCCACTGCCACAGCCACAGCCACTGTGGCTGCCCTACAAGAGAAGCAGAGCCAGGAGCTAAGCCAGTATGGAGCGGTAAGGCCCCTTCCAACTCCTTCCATGTGGTGGCCAGTATGGGTGAGTCTAGTGGACTTGGCAAGGCAGTGGGTTCCGAAGATAAGTGTGTAATGTGCCAGGAGCTGATGAAGCCATTGAAACAGAAGCAGGAAAGAGGGAGGACTGTGGGGTCAGCTGAAAGCAGTACATGCCCACTGAAGCAGTGGACCATGTACCCATTTTTGGAGCCCTTTAGTAGTGGGTCCTGGACGGTTCCTCTTTTTTCTTCCCAGATGAGCACTGGTCAGTCTTTTAACAGCCAGTTTCTGCAGCATGGAGGTCCCCGAGGACCCAGCGTCCCTCCTGGCATGAGCCCTTCCAGCATGGGAGGAATGATGGGTCCTTCTGGCCTCTCCTCCATGACAATGAACCCCACTCGGGCAGCAGGCATGACACCCTTGTATGCAGGGCAGCGCCTGCCTCAGCATGGGTACCCTGGGCCTCCTCAGGCCCAGCCACTACCCCGACAGGGGGTCAAGAGAGCCTACTCAGAGGTGAGTGTCTTGTTTGCTCAGCCTGGGTCCCTGGATGATGATTCAGAGCAGTGGTAAGGGTGACTTCTGTACTGGGAGAGAGCTACCTGTGCCCAGCAGGATCATGAAGGCCCTCCCACCCCTCCGTCCCCTCACCCCCGCCAGACTTGTGCACAGCAAAACATCCCCCTGAAATCTTTGTTTCCCCCTGGGCATCTGCTTCTTCTCAGGTGTATCCAGGGCAGCAGTACCTGCAAGGAAGCCAGTTTGCACCTACCGCTGCTCAGTATGCTTCTGGCCCTGGGCAGCCCCCTGCCCCTTCCTCCTCTTACCCTGGACACAGGTTGCCCTTGCAGCAGGGCATGGGCCAGTCCCTCTCTGCACCTGGTCCTACAGGACTGCACTACAAGGTAGGACTGGATCTCTTGGACCTGTGCTAGGCTAAGTGCCACAGGACTGATGGGGACCGCTAGGCAGTCCTGCCCTTCAGGAGTACCAGGCTGGCTAGGGGATCCTAGCCAGTGCAAGAACAGTTCTCAGGGTGAGGGGTCTGACTCTGAAAGGAACCTCTGCCATATAGATATAGATTTCTTCATGGCTGTTTGGTGTAGGGAGCAGCAAGCAGGCATCCAAACCATCCTCACAATTTTTATGGAACTGTGCACTCCACTCCCATTTAAGGGACAAGCCCTCTCTGCTTGGCAGTACACCCCATCTGGGCACATGGAGGATGGAGCACACCTCACTGGGAGCCTGAGTAGGCGAGGTAGCATGATGAGGTTGAAAAGGGGAAGACAGGCTGGGCATGGTGGTGCACGCCTTTAATCCCAACACTTGGGAGACTGAGGCAGGTGGATCTCTGTGAGTTCAAGGCCAGCCTGGTCTACACAGCGAGTTCCAGGCCAGCTGGGCCTACAGGGAGACCCTGTCTCAAAAAAAAGGAAGACCAAAAGAAAAAGAAAAGGGGAAGACAGAGGTGTTATGTCTTTCTAGCCCTTCTTGACTTGGAGAGTTACTTACTCCCTTTCTATAGTGGTAATGTTTTACATTATGAAATCAGTAATGTTCCTTCTAGATTGTAGGGAGAAGTACAAGGGAGTATAGATAATGCACAGATCAGCACCCTGGTGTGTGGTAGGAGTCTAGGATCAGGCCTAGGGGGCCAATGGAGGGCAGAATGGAGCCCCAGGCACACTCAGTTTTCTCTCCTGCAGCCCACAGAGCAGTTCAACGGGCAGGGCGCCAGCTTCAACGGGGGCAGCGTCAGCTACAGCCAGCCTGGCCTGAGTGGGGTACGGGGCTTTGCAGGGTGGATGGGCCGGGAGGCTCACAGGGTGGGCATATGAAAAGAGGGTACCCAGGCCGAAGAAGAGCAGGCACCCCTGCCCAGCGCCCCAGGGCTGCCTCCTGCCACTGTGTTCTGATGGTTCCCGGGGATTCTCCATGCACAGACTTTATCCTCCCAACCCTGCCATTCTACTTTGACTGTTTCTGCTCAACTTGTACAGCCTTCACGTTCCATCCCTGGCTATCCCAGCTCCCCACTGCCGGGGAATCCCACACCACCCATGACGCCTAGCAGCAGTGTTCCCTACATGTCCCCAAGCCAGGAGGTCAAGTCTCCCTTCCTGCCTGACCTCAAGCCAGGCCTCAGCTCCTTGCACCCTTCACCCTCTGGTGAGTGTTCCTTTTCAGGACAACAGCCACGTCAAGGCTAGAGTGGCTGGGGAAATCGGGACTGAGAGACTCCTACAGGGTGCTTAAGGGCTCCAGGGTGCAGAGGTGCTCCTTGACAGTGAAGATCCCCTGGTGGGGCACTCACCTCATAGCCAGCATGCCTCTGTTCCCAGGAAGTGGCCCTTGTGATGAGCTGCGCCTGACCTTCCCAGTACGAGATGGGGTAGTCCTGGAGCCCTTCCGCCTGCAACACAACCTGGCTGTGAGCAACCACGTCTTCCAGCTCCGAGACTCTGTCTATAAGACCCTGATGCTGAGGTGAGCCCTGCTACCATTCTGTTCTGTTCCTCAGTCCTGCTTGCAAAAAGAGTGGGCTGCCATCACCCTCTTCTCTGGTAGGCCTGACCTGGAGCTGCAGTTCAAGTGCTATCACCATGAAGACCGGCAGATGAACACCAACTGGCCAGCATCCGTGCAGGTCAGCGTCAACGCCACACCCCTCACCATCGAGCGTGGAGACAACAAGACCTCACACAAGCCCCTCTACCTGAAGCACGTCTGCCAGCCTGGTCGAAATACCATCCAGATCACCGTCACCGCCTGCTGCTGTGTGGGTGTCTAGGGGCATGGTCAGGGTCTGGCATGGTCAGGGTCTGGGGCCAACAGTAGCGCCACCCAGATCACCATCTTTCCTGAGGGCCTGAGGCAGGGGTGGGGACTTTTGTTTTGTTTTGTGTTTTGGTCTTTTTGAGACAGGGTCTCCCTGTAGCCCCAGCTGTTCTGGAACTCACTATATAGACCAGGCTGGCCTTGAACTCACAGAGATCTGCCTGCCTCTGCCTCCCAAGTGCTGGGATTAAAGGCGTGCGCCACCACGCCCAGCTTATGGGGTGAGGGACTTTATCCAAGAACAAGATGTTGTTTTTCACTGGGCGTGGTGATGCACACCTTTAATTTCAGCACCCAGAAAGCAGAGGCAGGCAAATCTCTGTGAGTTCCAGGCCAGCCTGGTCTACATAATGAGTTCCATTCCACTAGGGCTACAGGGAGACCCTGTCTCAAAAGAAAACAAAAGGAATCCAGTTAAATATATCTTGTTTTTACAGTTAGATTATTAAGTTCAACAGATTTAATGCATACATTAATTATATAAGAAAAACCAAACTGCACAAAAAGCTCAGGGACGACATTCCACCAGCAGCTGGGCAGGCCTCTCCCCGGGTTCCAGTAGATGGGATCCCATATAGACCATGAGCTACATGTCTGCCAGTAGCCACCTTGGTTGAAGGGCCTGGAGATGGAGCAGTATAGATACCATGCGTCATGTGAGTCTTAGGAAGTTTTAAGTTAGATCCAGGCAGAAGAGTGGATGCCATAAGCAGCGGGGCTTGCAGGGGGCTTGAGGTGATTGTGTCAGATGGGAAAACTAGATGGTGGTTGTACAGAATGCTGTGGAGAGAGCATAGCATGGAGAGTGCTTATAGCCCCTAATTGAGGCTGGGGTTACCCAAGCTCACAGGAGAGAAGCAGGGAAGTCCACTGCCTGTGTGTCAACACTCAGGAGGACTGGGCCTAGCTGCCAGGAGTGTAGACTCTCCCACCCTGAACCTCCCCTCTCCCTCCCTGGCACCCTGTGACATAACTCTTCCTTCTGATCATGCCTCTCTAAATTACATACCACCCTTTCTATCCAAAACCCACAATATAACATCCCTTACTCTCTTCCAGTCCCACCTCTTCGTGCTCCAGCTGGTACACCGTCCGTCTGTCCGCTCTGTGCTCCAGGGCCTTCTCAAGAAGCGCCTCTTGCCAGCTGAGCACTGCATCACCAAGAGTGAGTGGTCCCTACCCCCAGCCACTGGGGCCACGCCCAGGCTGAACACTGTTCTGTGTGGCACATCCCCAGTCACACAAGCTCTCTCCACTCAGGCCAGTGGCTTTGCCCTGAGGCACTGGTTACCTCTAGGTGACCCCTTGAAGCTACTGATTGAGCAGTGACTGGGTCCCTGGTTGGCATACCAGTTCACAGCCTCACTGTGTCCAAGACCCTTTACTCAAGTCCTTTCCCCTGTCAATGTCAGTAAAGCGGAACTTCAGTAGCGGCACCATCCCTGGCACCCCTGGGCCCAATGGAGAGGATGGGGTGGAGCAGACGGCTATCAAGGTGTCCCTGAAGTGCCCCATCACCTTCCGCAGGATCCAGCTCCCTGCCCGTGGTCACGACTGTCGCCACATACAGGTGGGTGGTTCCTGTGGACCCTAGTTGAAATTTCTTTCCTCTAAAATATTTTGACCTTGTGGAGCAACCAGAAAACTGACCCAGTATTGAGTGGAGTCTAAATTGGAACATGATTTGAGAAAACTGCTTGATAGCATTTAAGGATAATAATACATGCCTCATGATCAGGGAATTCTGCCTCTGTCAGTACACCCAACTGAAACATATATAATGTTGTTCAAAGTTATACTCTTTAATGCTTCAAACAAAAACAGATGTTTATCAACAACTTAGAAAAATATATTGAGCCTGTTAACAATGTTATATACCTGTAATCCCAGCACTCAGGAGGCTGAGGCAGGAAGATCAAGTTTGAAGCCAGTCTAGAATACATAGTGAGAACCTGTCTCAGATTTTATTTTATGTGTATGAGTGTTTTGTTTGCATGTATGTAAGTACACCCATGCTGTGCAATGCCTGCAGAGGCTATAAGAGAGGGTTGGATCCCCTGGAACTGGAGTTAAAAATGGTTGTTAGCCACCATGTGGGTGCTGGGAACAGAACCCAGGTCTTCTGCAAGAGCAGCCAGCGCTCTTAACTGCTAAGCCCTCTCTCCAGTCCCCCATCTCAGATTTTGTTGTTGTTTTGAGACAGCAGTAGCCCAGGCTATGAGCAGAGGATGACCTTGAACTCCTGATCTTCCTGCCTCAGTCTCTGAAGCTCCCAAGTGCTGGGACTACAAGCAGGCACCACCATGCCAGGCTTTAAAAAAATAATAATATTTTGATCTGACACTGTAGCTTCATCCTCTGAGGTAGATGGGAGTAGATGGAATCTGAGTACCTCAGCTGTCAGTCCAAAAGGCAGGCCTGCCACAGGAACCAAGGGACCTGGCTGCCCTGCTTCCTCACTAAGATGTCTTATTCCTTCAATCTATAATCACAGTTTGTCCCAGTATTTTACTGCTTCCTGCAGTCTTGGTATTTCATTTTTCAAAGGCATAAGAATGTGGGTGCAGCCTTCTTCCTTCCCACTTTTAGAGTTCCTGTCTTTGCAGAAATACCCTGTGTTAGCCAAGTAACTGCATGCTCCCTTCTGGTTACACAGTGGTATGTACTCCTTCGCACAGTGGGCACCCCCTTTCTTGGTGGTGGTGCTAGAGATTGAACCTAGGACTTCATGCATGCTAGGCAAGCACTCTACAGCTGAACTGCATCCCCAGCCCCATTTTTCCTTTTAACACCTTCAGAGGGTTCTCTATCAGTACAGCTGCCTGGTCCTTGCTTTGGTCCTAGAGCATGACAGTGCTAGGGAAGGCAGTGCTTGGGAAGTCTGTCCCAAGCTTGATCTATTAGGAGGATGTTGCAGTGAAAGTCTTTATGTGGTATCTCAAATACACACCTAAATAAGTCACGCTTTTCAGTAGACAGGGCACCTAAATGCCTTCCTCCACTGACCCATGCTGAGACAACCCTGTCTCCTCATCTTTCTGCAGTGCTTTGACCTGGAGTCGTACTTACAGCTCAACTGTGAGCGGGGGACCTGGAGGTGCCCCGTGTGCAAGTGAGTTTGTGTGATAAGGGGAGAGCTGCTACTTCCTCATAGGCCTTTATGGGTGAAACTTCAAACAATACCAGCAAATGCTCAAGCCTGGTAGAATTAGTCCCCAGCACAGACCAGGGAAGCCCATCTTAGGGAAGAAACCTCCTACTGGGTGGTCTTTCACAGCATCCCCTTGCACAGGGCTACCTTAGAGCCTTTTCCAGGGTCACCTGATACATACCATAGACAGTTGCTGCACACAGAGGGTCTCTATGCAGAGTTACCTCACACAGGTGGTTGGGCTGGAGAAATGAAAGTCCCTGCACCCAACATGAGTTGGGCTACACCTCTGAACCAGTTTCCTTTGCTTTCTACAGCAAGACAGCATTGCTGGAGGGCCTGGAGGTGGACCAGTACATGCTAGGCATCCTGATTTACATTCAAAAGTAAGTGTCTTCTTGATGCCACCCCTGCATCTGTGGCCACCAGAGGGCAGCCCTGGAATAAGTGCAGTCTTCTGGGCCTCATCCCACCATGAAGCAGCTCCACTCCAGGCCAGAGTCCCAACCCTTGCACCTCAGTCCCAGGCCCAGCATCTGCTAAGTACCCTGAAGGTTCTGAGAAGCAGAATCTTTGAGTGGAGGGTATGGTTGGAAACTTCCTGACAACTGAGTGAGGCAGCAGGTGCTGGGCAGGTCGGGAATGAATGACCGCTCCCATGTGTCCCTGCTTAGCTCAGACTATGAGGAGATCACCATCGACCCCACGTGCAGCTGGAAGCCAGTGCCTGTGAAGCCCGACCTACACATCAAGGAAGAGCCGGATGGGCCAGTGCTAAAGCGCTGCCGCACTGTGAGCCCCGCCCATGTGCTCATGCCCAGTGTGATGGAGATGATCGCAGCCCTGGGCCCCGGCGCTGCCCCCTTTGCCCCCTTGCAGCCCCCCTCGGCCCCTGCCCCCAGCGACTACCCCAGCCAGGGTGAGTATAGCATACGCAGGCTTGAACCTCAGGTGACTCTGGGCAAATAACTTGTCCTCCCCAGATCAGCCTCCTAGATTCTGGCAATGTTGCTGCCACACAGTTAAGAAGTGTATCCACCCAAAGCATGCTGAGGCTGCCTGTCCTCCACGTCCTGTCTCCGCATGGTGGGGATGCGGTCGGGGCTTTGGTCCTAGGAAGTAGGCATGTGAGGCCTCCACCCTTTCCCTCTGGTTTGGAGTAAGAGACTTTTTGCTGGACTGTTTCCATGGATTGGCCCCATCTTGGGTGTCCATCAAGGACCCACCCAACATGGTAGACTTTCATGTGGTGGGTCCCATTCCATCACCCCTGAGGCCTCCACTCCTAGGACTGGTACAGGTTCAGCCCCTAGCAGTGATGAAATGTAGATTCACTGCTAGTGATGGGCATATCTGACCCATGCCATAGGCAACCTCCCTTTCCAGCACCTCTGCCAGTGTCAGCCTCCTGACCTGACTCTTCTTCTAGGTTCTAACTTCCTGGGTCCTGGAACCTTCCCAGAGTCTTTCTCATCCACCACACCCAGCACCCCAAACCTTGCTGAGTTCACCCAGGGGCCACCCCCTATCTCCTACCAGTCTGACATTCCCAGCAGCCTACTAACTCCAGAGAAATCTGCTCCCTGCCTCCCAGGACAGGTCAGTGCTATACCCAAAGACCCAAGAGGTAGGGGTCTCCTCAGGGAACTCCTGGGCTGTTTTAACAATTTTTTTTATCCATCCTCAGATGGCACCAGCAGGCCACTTAGACCCAGCCCACAATCCTGGACCACCAGGGCTGCACACCCCCAACCTTGGACCTCCCCCAGGCCCCCAGCTACACCATCCAAACCCTCCCCCTGCATCTCGGCAGCCCCTGGGCCAAGCGAGTACAGGACCCATCAGTGAACTGGCCTTCAATCCTGCCACGGCCATGATGGGGCCTCCCAACATGTCTGGGGCAGGGGAGGCCTCTGAACCAGCTCTGGATGTAAGTAGCAGGTCTTGTGCTAGGAAGCATATGGGAACTTCCAGGGGCTTGTCTGTCCATTGTCCCTGAGTCTACTTACCTTGCTTCATAGAAGGAAAGACAGCCTTCCAAGAGAGCCTGTCAGTTAATATCACCCAAATGCAGCTCTATTATACACAGATTGGATACCTGAAATGGTCTTCAGGTGCCAGGTACCCTGTGTGATTAATGAGTGACCTGCTCCTAGGGGCTTTGGTGCCTTGGCTCCCCAGAGAAGCCTGGGTCAGGGGAAGCTCACAGCATAGTCCTTTAAAGTCCAGCTGGACCTGTCCATTTGTTCAAGTTTTGCTTCTTGACAACACAGGTAGTATGTGAGGACAACCATGAAAGACAGTTGACTGTCCCTAGACCATAATAGAAATCATTGAAGTTCTACATGAGAAAGATCAGAAGCAGCCCAGAGCAGGAAGTCCTAGGGGCTTGGAGTTCTACCACCTGCTTTGGCCCCTGGGAATCACACTGGGGATCCCCTCTCAGGCCTGTGCATCTCCAGCACACAGCTGTGCCACCACGGGTATACATTTGGCTCCTGGCAGAGTTGAGGACTCTGTCCTGAGCTATTCTTGTCTTTCGGTGAGGAGATACAGGCAGCTTCGTGCAGGTGGATGGTTTTGCTCAAGTTCCTAACATTTGGCAGGGGAGGCAGCTTAGCATCCCCACTGGGCCTGGGGACAGGGCTGGACTGCCAGGAAAGCATGACCACTGGACGTGATGTGTCAGAGACCAAAGCTGCTAACATGTTTGCTTTGTCCTCAGTTGCTCCCAGAACTGACCAACCCTGATGAACTACTCTCGTACTTGGGCCCACCTGACCTCCCCACAAACAGCAGTGATGACCTGCTCTCTCTCTTTGAGAACAATTGATCCTGTGTTAACCCCTGACCCGGCGGGACACACTCAAAGATGTCACCACAGCCTTCCCTCCTCACCCAACCCTACAGGATGCCTGGCAGTCCTCCCCGAACCTCCCCATGCACACACCCTGAGCCAGGATCTGCCATTGCTGAACTGGAAGCAACCCTGGCTCTGGAGGGGCCTCAGGCCAGTGGCCCTCACCATCCTCCTTCCACCAACCTCACTGCTACAGAACGGTTCTTACCGAGGTGCCCTGCCATCCCCTGCCCAGCTGCGTGTGTACACCCCATACCCTAGTCTCATGACCTTGCACCTTGTCCTTCCACCCTGCCTGCTCCCACCCAGCCTGCATCTTGTCCAGCATTGACCTTTCTGTTTCTGCTCCTCCTCAGAAGAGCCGGCTGGCGAGTCTGGCTCTGTACCCTTGGCCTGCAGCTCCAGTGGCCTGAATCTGGCAGCCTCAGGACCATGTAGAGTGCCAGCCTTTGGGGGCCCTGGCACTCCCACCCAGCCGTATGTGGTGCAGGGGTTCTTCTCTCTACCCTGAGCTTCAGGCAGAGGCTGGGGTGGGGGGGCTATAAAGCACAACAATGTACATAGTGTAGAAATGCTAACAGCTGGGAGAGGGAGGGGACAGCTATTTAGGTCAGCATGTTCCTCTGTGGTCCAGCCTGGGCCTTCCCTGTGGTGTTTGCCCCTTCTTGAGTGCAGACAGTTTGAAGGGAGGTTCTAGTGGGGAGAGGACAGTGGGCTCTCAGACTCAGCTCTGTGTAAATTCTCCAGTGAGCTGTTCCCCCAAGTTCCCTTTTTCTGTGAAAGTGAAGAATTAGTACAGCTGTGTTTTTTTAAGCCACCTCGTCTCCACCCTGCGTGGGGGGATGCCATTGCATCTGCTGGCAGAGCGCCTGAGCCTACAAGCAGGATGCCGGCCTGTCATGTCTCCTGTCTGTGCGATCTATTAAAGGACTCCCTCTTGGTGGGCCTGGCTGAGTCTTTCCATTGTGCTGGGGCTGTCTATGCCTTCATTGGGACTGGAAGCTCAGCCCACAAATGGCTCTCAGGACCCCACATCAAGCTCAGATGTTCCCAGCTAAGCCTCAGCTATTCCTGAACTATGGTAAATTTCCTTTTCCCTGGAATTTTCCAAGTTGGCTTCAGCTGTGGAGCTGTTTTGCAAAGTGTCTCAAGGCTTGCCCTGGAGACATTTGCCACCATGTCACCTTCCCTGGGTGTGCCCTGGGGCAAGGAGCCAGCTCTCTGTCAAGTGACCCTATCCCAGCCAAGGGCCTCGGAGGTACTAGGCTGTGCCCGGAGGAGCCTCTGCTCACTGTCCCTCTTCCTTGCCCTGGGCCCAGAAGCCCTGCCCAGCGGCCTCCTTGTGCAGCAGGAAAGATGAGAACTGGAGCGGGGAGGCATCCAAGGAGCAAGGGGAGTGCCTGGCATCCTCGGCTAGCTGCCAAGGCCTGCCCTGCAGCACTGGAGGAGGGTTCCTATCAGGGAGCTTCAGGGGAAGGAGGGAGGAATTGTGTGCAGAGGCTTGGGAGCTCTGAGTGCCTTTGACATCGGAGAGCACACTGATGGCCTTGTTGCCCTAAGAAGACTGTTTCCAGCTTTTCTGCCCTCTAGCTGATGCAGGGAGGGAGGCAGAAGAGAAAAATTGGTAGGAACAGCAGTGGGCTGGGGCCCAGGGAATGTGAGGACAGTTTGCAACAGACTCAGCTATAGCCCCTACTGGGGTAGAGGAGGAAGAGTCTGCCTGCCTTCCTTGGATAGGATCTGACTACTGGACCCCCACAAGTTTGGTGCTCCTGGGTAGGAAATAAGAACCACACAGACTGACAAACGCTACAACCATTCAGCTGTCCATCCTCAACAGATGGATAAGTGATTAAGGAATAGCTGTCAGAATCCCTGTACGCCATCATGAATGAATCTCAGAAACGAGTAAAAAGGTACAGAGGCTTATACAGTACAATGCCATTTTTAGGAAGCTCAAGCACTAGTATGAATTATACAGGATTTATACAAAGTAAGGCAAAGGGGTGGAGGTACTTCCTGTAGAGACTGGGCAGGGGCAAAGTTCTGGTCTTCAGGGGCTGGCTTCATGGGTTTCCACCCCTGCACTTTCCGTGTCACTGTCGTGTGTGCCCAGTATTACACAACTTTAAAAGTCGACTGGACCAGACATACAAAACACACATCACTTAAATACAACATGCTCCAGGATATAGCATGTCTCAGTAAGTCACCTTGAAATCCCACATCCTCCCTGCATGTGGAGCAAAATGGCTACATCTATAGCAGAAAGATAAATGGAAAATTCATAAATAAATTGACACTTTGGAGAAAGTCTTCTGTAGCCCAGGTTAGCTTCATCATTTTCCTACCTCGTGAGTGCTAGGACTATAGGTGTGCACTATCACTCCTTCATAACCAACTGGTTAAAAAAATACGCTGGCTATGGTAGTGCATGCCTTTAATTCCAGCACTCAGGAGGCAGGCAGTCTCTGTGAGATTGAAGCCAGCTTGATCTACATAGTAAGTTCCAGGCCAGCAGGAGCTACTGGAAGACCCTGTCTCAGACAAAAAAAAAAAAAAAAAAAAAAAAAAAAAAAA